AACTTCTCTGAAGAGGAAATGCAAATGGCCAACAGGCATATGAAAAAATGTTCAACATCACTTGTCATCAGGGAAATGCAAATCAAAACTACCATGAGATACCATCTTACACCAGTGAGAATGGCACATATTAAAAAAACTAGCAACAACAAATGTTGGCGAGGTTGTGGAGAAAAAGGAACTCTTCTGCACTGTTGGTGGGAGTGCAAACTGGTCCAACCACTATGGAGAGCTGTGTGGAGATTTCTGGACCTACTAAACATAGAGTTTCCATATGATCCAGCAATTCCACTCCTAGGTATTTACCCAAAGGACACAGAAACATCCATTCCAAAGAACACCTGCACCCCTATGTTATAGCAGCACTATTTACAATAGCTAAGCTTTGGAAACAGCCCAAATGCCCAAAAATAGATGACTGGATCAAGAAGATGTGGTACATATATACCATGGAATATTACTCAGCATTCAAAAAGATAAACACATGCAATTTGCAGCAACATGGATGGTGCTGGAAGGGATCATGCTCAGCGAAATAAGCCAAAAAAAAAAAAGAAAAATACCGGATGGTCTCACTCATAGCAGGAATCTAGAAAACTTAAATAAGGGATCAGGAAAAAGAATAACTATAAGAAAGTGAAAATCAAAATCAACAAAAAACTATGAACCAGAGACACTTTTTGGGGGTGGGGGTGGGGCTGGGAGGATTGGGGTCAGAATGGGCATGTGCAGTTGTATGGGGGAATATAAAAATAAAATTTTATTATTTAATAAAAAAAATTAAAATAAAACAACTTTGAGATCAAAATATATATGTTGGGCCCCCCTGGTGGCGCAGCAGTTGAGTGCTGGGTTACGAAGCTGCCCACAGCCTCTGCAGCACCGATGCGATCCCCGGCTGCTCCCCGGCCACTGGAGGAGGGTCCCACATGGCGCGCAGACCTCTCCTGCCGCCCGCTGCTCCCCTCAGCAGTGTACTTCGGTCCCTCTGCCTGCTCTGCTCCCCGCTCTGGCTCTGGTGAATTCTCTCACCGTCCCGCGCTTCTGACTGTACCCAATGCTTGTATAAATAAATAAATAAATAAATAAATAAATAAATAAATAAATAAATAAAATCTTTAATATATATATATATATGTTGTCCTTGTTTTCACAAGTATTAAATTATACACAAAAAAGAAGTAAGCAAGGTCCCCAACAAACAGTATAGTGTATATTCTACTAAATATGTGCTGAATGAATATAGGTGGTAGACAGAAGTGTAATATTAAAAGAGGTGAGAGGGCTTGATTCTGAGAAGGAGGCAGGATGCTAAAGAAGGAAGGTTATAAGCTTTGGCATCAGACAAAAACAAATTGAAGTTATAGCTTTTCTCTTAACTACAGTGAACTTCAGGTTCCTCATCTGCAAGAAGGGTTGATAACAAAAATAATCACTTTGTGGACTTACTGAAAGGTTTGAAGAATGTAATTAAAGCCCTAGTATACTACGATGAATTATTTTAGTTACTGGTACACTTCCTCTTGCTTTCATTCATACCCAGGCTTAACAAGGCTACCCACCCAAAAGCAGCACTCAACTTCTGGATCTCCACATGAAGGGGAAAGACTGTTCTTTCTAAAAACAACAGCCTTGATTGAGTCCAAAACTTGCTTGGTTCGTGTGTGTGTGTGTGTGTGTGTGAGTGTGTAAATGCATCTCGTTCAGAGGGAGCTCTGTCAACATCAGGTCTCTGTCTGTATATATTTGTGCATACAGTTTGTAAAGTGCTTTTTGATTTTTTCCAGACAAAAGATAAACTCATTTAATTTAAAATCATCAGATGGATTGCATTAAATGGAGGGAGAAGCAAAAACGTACACAATATAGTCATTTGTTAAATTAAACACAATTATTTCTCCTGTTACTTAATTACAAACAGACATAAATACTCTGGATTCTGACATCTCACATCTTAAATTCTGGATCTGCATTTCAACATGTAACGAAGGGAGGGTTGTATTCCAATTTGTGCGTTAAGCAAACCCGAGAGTTACTATTGCATATTGGGACCATAATGACTTCACCTAAAACAAGACCTAAACTTTTAATTAACCTGCCAAGACAAATTACAACTCATAGCTCACAGGTAATGATCACAGACAGATGAGACTCAATGCTGGAGACTCTTGGGGAAGAAGGGATTAATAGCAACCTCAGAATCAGTCTGTTTTTGTATTAAAGAAGAAAAAGGTATTCATTAAACAATCACTGTAGCTTGAAGGAAGACAGACGAGTCAAAAAGGCAGTCAGAGAAGGTGGCAGGAGGAAAAGGATGGGAGAGAATATTAACCACCTCCATTAGGGAGTGCCAGGTGCTGGCTCGCTCTGATGGTCACCATGGGGACAGCAAAATACTATTCCTATTCATTCTCTGGAGAAAGAAAATGGGGCTGAGAGAGGTGACATGACTGACTACAGTCATCAAAGGACATGGGACAGGAGGGACGGGAAAGCAGTGCTCACAAGGCATCTGTTTTCAAAACTTCCTTAGCAGACCACCAGAATCGGGATGGCCTGGGCTCCGGGTCAGCCATCTGAGTCATCATTTCTTGGGAAAAGGCCCAGACATCTGAATTTTAGGATTCCTCTGTGCAACGTTTGAGACTGCTCATGAGATACTACACAAGGCCTCGAAATTCAAAAGTGGGCCTGCAAATACATGGTTGGTGTTACCAGGCGCTGCTTTGAAATATAGACTCAAGGGATCTGCCCAGACTAACTGAAGTAGAACTGCACTTTAACAAGATGCCAGGTGGCTCCTAAAACTCTGGGAAGCACCGTATAGATTATCTGCGCTAAGGACACCTCAGGGTTAAGGGAGGTAAAGAGAGGTTTCATCATTTAGGTGAGAAAAGGCGAACCAGAGGACACGCAAAGCCCTCTCCTTAATTATGACAAAACAGGTTAGCGAGCTCTGACAAGCCAAAAGTTGGCAAAGCTACCTAATTGTATCTACATCTTATTTCTCTAAGATGCCTATCCTAATTAAAAGTAGCTTTCTCTGGGGCTTGTATCAATATCCTTTCATGTTTATATTCAGTTATTAAAAATGAAGAATTCTGATTGTGCCAGATCTTCATTCTAAGGAAGCATGGAACTCTGGGACTTCATGAGCCACGCCCATGAGAAGGTGGGCTGGGAGACCATGAAGTTATAACGCAGGCACCACTAAGGACTCCACAACCATGTCCCTAAATTGAAGCCATTGTGTCTGAAAGAGAAAAGACATAGGCTCTGGAGTCTGGCAGACCCCACCGAGTGATGGCCTGGTTGATGGTGAGGACCAGAACTGGCTGCCCAGTGATGGGGTGGGGCTGCCCCACTGTCTTCCAGGTCACCAGTCACTACTGAGCTGCAGCTGCACATTCTAGCATCTTGAGAAACGCAGAGCTGGCAAGCTGGTGTGCAGGGACGGAACTGAGCATACTTCTATTCCACCTCAAGAGAAGGTGTTGGGAGAGAAATCTTTGGCAGCTGCCAAGACTGTGGCTGCTGATGTCCTGCCAATAGAAGCCTGCACAGAGGATGGCCACATGCTCATCCTTTGTCAACCTAGCAATGCTGTGCGGCAGGGAATGGCGGAGTTCGGAGAGGCAGAGGAGACTGTCCAATTCCCCGTGCAACAGGCACTTAGAAACTAGTAAATAAGGGCATCCTCCCCAAACAAGGACAGCATCAAATCACATTTGCTACATCAGAAGGCTGAGGGCCCCTGCCCCATTTTGTCAAGAGTGAACACTGAGGCCACATTTATGGCAGAGGTTTATAAATCATACTCTGTGTTTAATGGAAGGGACTCTGTACCTGGACCCTAAGGGCAAATTAGAGGAAATGGTCTGAAAATGGCTACTGGTGTTTAAAAGGAAGAACCGGAATCTTGCAAGAGTTTTAGGAACCATAGTCCGATTCAGCGGTCTTTCTTCAACTCTATTTTCAATGATAGAGAAAACTTCCAGGGAAGGACTGAGCTAGAGGATCTTGAGGTGAACTCGAAGCCACACAGAGCATTTCACTGAAGCAGAAACCCCCTTCCCAAGTGTTCTGGTTAGTGGAGTTTTGTTTTTCTGTTTATTTTCTTGTAGGGGATTTTATCTCCAGGCTGCATCACAGTGCTTCTAATATAAACTCTGAAAAAATGTGTTCTGACCTGAATCACTGAGACCACCAAGTCTTACAGCACACTGTGGCCATCTAAGCAGAGACAAATTACATGGAATGTGTGGGGAATAAAGAGACATTCTCTGGAACAGGAAGCCAGGGAGCCCAGACTCTCACAGTCCCTGCTCCAGAGGGACAGCCACATACTCAGTGAAATGTCCAGCTCTGTCTCCATCAGAGACCAGGATTTCTCCATTCTCAACAAAACCACAACTTCACATACATCGTTCACCCAGGTTTTGCATGGCTATGCCCACTCTCTTTAGCTTCTTTTCTTATCTCCCAAGGGTGTTCACTCCAAAAGCAAAAAATTAAATAGAAAAAAAAATCCCCACCCAAACCCACTAAATCACACATACACAAAAGCAAAAATCCAAGTAAGAAACCAGTGAGTTGAAGCAAGCGAAACTATAGAGACAAATATAGATGGAGAGAAGAGACAAGAAAAGAAATGTTTACTGCTCAATCCAGTTCTTGTCTCGTTGACAGCTCCACCCCTTGGTCTTTAAATGTAGCTGCTGGTTTCCACACCGTGCCAAACAGAGCACCAGAAGGGCAGTGGGCATCAGGCTCCGACGGCTTTCCGACCCCTCCTGCTATTGCCCCCACTCAGTTCCCTGCTTTTCACTCCCATGGCTTGTCCAGAATGCCCAGGTGGGATGCACTCTGAGGGGCATCCACAACCCTGGGCAAGACATATTCCTTTGTCAGTTCCAACCCTAGGATCTCCAATGGGCCGCCCAGGGCCTCCCACTCAAAGAGACAATATCCCACAGATCCCAGGGGCAAAGCTTCCTTACCAATGGCAGTGGTGAGAAAAGAAACCACTTCGGACTCCTTCCCGTCATTATAAAAGGCCAGGTGCCAGATTCCTGAATCCAAATACTGGATGAAGCCTGTCTCGTGGCTAGAAGGGGGAACGACCCCCCGAGACTGGCGCTGGGGTCCCTCCAGGCTCCGTGCCTCCTGGGTCAGCAGCCTCCTTCCATCCAGCAGCTCCACAAAGTCAAACTAAAGAAGAGAGTGGGCACAGTTAACAGGTGGGTTGGCCTCACCATGGCACCAGACTCCTTCTTTGGGCTTCCCCTGGGGAGAACACAAGGAAACACAGCCTGAGACCAGCCTAACAGGCAAAAGCCACAGGAAGGTTGATCAATCAACTCCAAATTCTCCCAGGTGCCACTTTTTCATCTTAAAAGTCAAATGATTCTCCTAAGAGTGCAGCAACATGATTGGTTTATTCTTTCAAATTGTTTTGTTTTAATTTTGGTCTATGGGTGGTGAGTCCTCTACTGGCTGGGTTAGTGCCAGGACAACTATGCTTTTCCAAAGGGAGGCACACAATCAAAAACCCAGCCACAATCAAAAAGTCCACACATGTGACAATGGGAATCCCCAAGGACTAGATTGGGATCTCAGCACTGGATGTGCCTTAAACGTGAGTCATGTGCAAATGAAAATCTGATATGTCTTCCTTCCTCTTTTCTGTGATCCTTGAGAAACACTCTAGATTCAGGGGATAGTTTGAGGGAAACTAAATTGGTTTAGCTCAAAATTCTATCAGTAATTACATGTTGTGTCAAATACAACTGCTGATTGATCTGTGCTAACTTAAGACTCAAGAGAAGTCAGTCACACGGTGTGAACAACAGCTAGGTGGTGAGTCCTACTGGTTTGCTAGCAAGCAATTTGAGTACTCATCTGTCCATCCATCCTTATATCTTAAAAAAAAAAATAGGTATTTATCTACCTTTTAACTAAAAATCTTAAATAACTACTGGGACTAGTAAGACTGATTCAGTCTGGAAATGTCTGATGGAGAGTTAGAATTTTTTTACTCCTATCCCAGAGCTTGAAGGAATTTACGGTTTGTTCTTTACCCACCAAGACTGGTAAAATGCCGATCATCTTGGATGAATTTTCAAGTGTTTCTGGTGTGCAAGTGTCTGAGTAAATGTGTTACCCTGAAGGAGAGAGGGAAGGCAAGAGACTAGGGAAGCAGTTACATTTCTTCTGAGCCAGGTCCGGCACAAGTTGCCTTTGTAAGTGTTATTCTTTCTTCTTCACAGCTCTGCAAAGTGGATGCTATTATCACTATTTGATAGATTTGGAAACTTGCTCTGAGAGGTAAATAACAGGCCCAAGGTGAGATGACTCTTACTTGAGGATTCAAACTCAGGTCTGACTTCAAAGTGCGTGTTTTTGCCTCCAGATCACATTTTGTGTGGAGACTAGATAATCGTGGAAAGGCTGTTGAGACAGCTCTTAGAATTCCTGCCATTCAAAAAGTCCCAGACTCATCTGACAGGTTGGGTCTGAATAAATGGAGGAATGATCTAGGGACCATAAGAAATGACTTGTGCATTGAAGAGTCCAGGATTAAGCATTAGGTTTCTTGACTTTGGGTTAAGATTTTCAGTGGGAACCTCGAGAGGTGAGCGGGGTGTGTGGTTTCTGGTTACCTGTGTATGAGAAGGAGGAAGGCCTTTTCTGCCATAAATGCCAACTAGAGCCGCTTTTCCCAGAGACACATTGAATTTCAGATGCACTGGGTGGTCTATGAACACCTGAGATCTCCAGAAAGTGCCAGGAGGAATCTTCTGGGAAGCTCGCCTCCCCACGTCGATTTCTCCAGAGTCTATAAAACTGTCCTCAGGAAAGAAACTACTGGGCTTTCCTACCAAGACACAGGGGAGGGAAGACAAAAACATCATGGTTAGTGACATGTGCAATGAGGCATCAGGGCATCCAAATGAGCCAGGACTCTCCTTTGCCTGGAGCCTCTTTCTACAGGGTTCTACTGCCAGCCCCCTCCCTCCTCTTTTCCCTCCCTGAATGGGGGAGTAAGAATGTTCAGAACTCTTTTTCCAGTGATGCTCAAATTGTTCTGCTAAAAATATGCATTCTTCCAAAGCAGTATGGGTCCTCCCCAAGGGCCATCTGTTTACTGCATAATCCACAGCTTGTTAAGATATATTTTGATCCTAAAAATAATCATTTGTGGTCACATGAGAATAACGTGTGTGTATGTGTGTGTGTGTGTGTGTGTGTGTGTGTGTGTGTCTGCAAACTGAAACAGAAAGGATAGAGGGAATGAGTTGTTATTAAATTTCCAACTCAGAATGGTTTCCCCAGCAGTGGAAGCACAAGCTGAGTAGAGTAAGATATTTTACAAGTTCACTAGCTCATGTGTAAATTGGAAGCGAAATTCTGAGGCTAAGATTTGTGGATGGATGGGCACTAGTATTGGGAGCAGGGCTAGGGTAGGGAAAGATGAGGAAGAGGATGCTTCTTTGTCTTTGGATGGGAGTCTTTGAACATCGCTTTTAAACCAATGTGGGTAAAGTCAAGGGAATTTCATACATTCAGGCATAAAGCCTATGATGTATTTGGCAATTCACCTCGGCCCCCAAAACCTTCAGACTGGGTAATGGGGGAGGGTCAGGAGAAAGTTCCCTTGCCCATTTCTGTCACTAATCAGGAGAGTGACAGCTTTCTGGGGGTGCCCTGAGTGCCAGGAAGGAAGGCTGCTTATCAAACTTCCTCTATTTAGTAATTAAGCACACTCACATGTGAAAAATATAAGCCATAACTTCCTGCCAGACATTAGCCTTCTGAAGAACTGGGAGGGGGCAGGAGCCTATAGCCTATAGCCTATAGCGAGGGTAGAAGACCACCCTTAGGATGCTGACAAGCCAAAATCAAGTCAACAGACTACATCTTATTTGTCATTAGAGAGACCCCCTGGCTATCCTGGTTCCACGGTTTGTTGTGTTGTTAGAGATGCTCGAAGACACACTTTAGAGAACAAGAATCCATCTGGAAAGAAAACACATTTGTGGGAACTTTTTATACAAAGCATTTGGGGAATAAGAAATTAAAATGTCTTTTTTTCCCCTAGCTTTGTAAGATTCCTTACAAAGCACATTTGATGCTGAAACGGAGCTTTGGCAGGGCATTGTTGTAGTCATAAAATATTTTACTGTTTTAAATAATAAAATTCAATTTAAATGTTAAACTTCTCCATATGTTATCATTCCCTTATAAACTCCTAGGCAGAAACATCAGGTTTTTAGCTTCAAACCATTAAATGTTATTTTAATTAAAAATATGCCAACACAAAAAGTTACAATGCACGCTCTCAATAAAAGCGCCACTAGTACCGTCGTCAGCATGGGAAAAGGCTTGTATTTAATTCCTTTATGGAAGGAATGTGCCTCAGACTTTTACCTTGAAAATACACACACACACACACACCAGAGAGAGAGAGAGAGAGAGAGAGAGAGAGAGAGAGAGAGAGAGAGAGAGATGACCACACTGTGGTCCAAGTTCACAGACAGAAGCCAGCTTCACAAAGCATTAAGATGGGATAGAATTACTTTTACATCTTTCCTTATCTGATTTTTGGGTTTCCAACACCACAATTCTTTTTATATTTCAGGTAGACAATGTAACACCCTTCAGTCTAAAAAGCTGCTAGAGAACAGAACTATGAGGAAGCATGGAACAAAAGCAAGGGGAGTGCTGAGCATTTTACTAGGAGAAACTGCATAAAAATAAGCCCAGGACTGAGTTCCTTTGTGAGTAGGTGAGAGTCAGAGCTGAAGGGATTTGAGAATTGTCTGAATTCAAATAATTCCTATGTCTGGGAATATATAAGGACACTCCTCCCCCAACCCACTCCCATTTTGGCATGCTGGTGGAGAACCCTGCAAGGTTTATTTTTCTCTCTGGTTAGCAAGTTTTTAGGAAGCAGTTCAGCAATTGTATCAGCTAAATTCTGTAGCCTTACAGGTCAGAGGTCAAGACCAGAGACTCTCCTGAGACCTGCAGGCCCCCGACACATGGATAAGTTGGCTCGTACCCCAGAGCAGTGGCAAAAGGGGAACAGTCTTTCTGAGCACTGTGTTTCACCTAAGCAGCCAAAATGAGAGCAAAAAATGCTGTAGTGTGTATATGATGAAATAACAGTAGTGAATTCTGGTCTATGGCATGCACCCCACCAGGATCTTGACTTTCTTGGCTGAGTCAGTGAGGGCCACTCTGCAGCTGTGGTTCAAAAGTGACCTTTGTACTAGAAGTCATCCTGTACAGATCCTTAAGGAAGGGATGACAGCCCAGTTTAAAAGCGGTGTTTAAGAGGGTAAAGAAAATCCCCATCTGAAATCAACCTTTTCAATTTCCCCTCCCTGGTCCCCAGAGGCTCCCACACTGGGCTTACCATAGGGTTGAGATGGTGGTTTTGGAGGGGTAAGAACATCTAGTATGTCTGCCTGATGGGAAAGAGCATGAGGTTGACTGGGCTGAGGATTGTCAAAGTACAACCACCCCGCCACTTCCTGCCTTTTACATACCATATAGCCTTCCTCTCTCGAAATCCTCTAATCTAAAATTCTTTGTTCTTATTTCTGAGCACCAAATTGTGAGTATTAGGGTAAAAGATAGCCTACTATATAGCAAAACCCACTAGTGGTGGAGCAATCAGAGAGGGGGGAGGGCAGAGGCAGTTGGAGAAATGATAGGCCTGTGTATAAAATTCCTTTTATCCCCACCTAAATTCTGAAAAAAGGATATTATTAGCAGTAATAGTAATAAAGGCAGCGGTAGGAGTATTACTAGTTGTACAGTTCCTGTTTATTAAGCTCCAACTGTAAGCATGGGCACCTTCACATATATTGATTCACTTAAGTCTCACACTATTAAAATGTATACACTGAGATTCAGAATGTGTAAGAAACCATGGACCAATTGGGGTCCTTCTTTATTTATTAAAATACAGCTTCTTAGGGCATTAAATCAATGTATGATTAAGTAAGAGTCTACATTCTCAATGGTGGCAGGTGCTTTCATTGACCCTTCTTTAAAGTAAGAGTCAAATTTAATCCACAGTCCTAGCAGGGTAAACATCAAGCCTAGAGCAGGTAGACCCAAGGTCAACTGAAGAACTTCCTGGCATTCTGGGTCATAAGAAGTTGACAATACTTATAAAATAGGAACCTACAAATAGGCCCCAAAGTTAAAGGGCAACAGTCAACACTTGCAGACATTCATAAGAATGATACTATATAATCATGGGGGCTCCCAGAGGCATTACAAACAGTACCAGGAACTTAACACAGAATTAGAAACCCCCAAAAGATTTCATGGGGAAGAGCCTACTAGTATCAGACCTTTTCTTCTTAAAGAATACTGACTGATTCAGGCTTCCTATAGAAATGCAGTGTAAACACACAATTGTGTCTATAAAAGAAATTTCTCAATAAATTCCCCAAATGATTGGATAGCTCGGTCAAATAAAGATTTGGAAGAACTGAAATACCATGTACTTTCCAATAACAGTCTTCACTTTCTTGAACTAAGATCTATCTACATAGGTTCTAAATTCCTAATCAACTAACATTCTTACCCTCCCTCTGCCTTTTTCATTCTTTTCAATGCAATAACTTGCACAAAGAATTCTTTAGTTTCCTTAGCAACTGTTTGAAATTTATTTGGTTATCAAAATAAGCTGTCCCATTTTGGAGAACCTAGCTGAGCCTGTGTGCAGCAATTTGCATGGTTCAAACTGATGGGCAATTTTGATTTCATTGCAGAAAGAAGAAAATGCTATCCCTAGCCCACCAATTCAACCATCAGAAATGCATGTTTATTCAGTGCTTTTCCCCCCTTCTCCATTAATGCATAACATAAGTTCTTGTGGCTTTGCTTCTAAAAGCTGCTGCATTTGGTTTCTGTCCTATGGTTACAGTCACTTTGAAAATATAGTATAAATTGCAGTTTGATGTTCTTCTTAAAGCCATGATAACAATGACAATACTGGGTTCATCATATGTTTCATTTATATAATTAAAAATATATATATATATATATACCTTTAAAGATGTTTAAAAAATACTCCAAACCTTTCAGAATCTTTGAGGGGGAAAAGTCAGTTAGTCTGTATTTCTAAAATTTTAATAACTGACATGGAATGGCTTGAGACATGAACAGACAAGAATAAAGGAATTAACATTTGTTGAATGCCTCTTCACCACTAGTTTTTAAAAAGATAGGTGCTTTCATACTCGTTCTATAGTTGCAGAAAGTAAGGCCAGAGAAGATGTAGTGATTGAGATGAGTTAACAGAGCCAATAAAAGGCAGGGACAGGAGTCAGGTCCTGTGCTGTGGTTTCAAGGCCCAATTTCTTCTTTCATCATACCCTATCGCTTCTTCCATCACTATGGAACAGGGATTCTAATCTTAATTCTAGAATCAGTTCTCTTCCATGATACTCTCAGAAGGGACAGGAAGTATGCACACATATCAGGGTTAAAGACCCTTGAGATATCTAAGGAACTAGATTTTTTACATCACAATTAAAAACATAAACTGAGTAGACACTGGTTTGACCAGGGCAAAATAAATTAAGAACCATGTGGTCTCACATAAACTATGGGAGCTTTGTCCTCTTTTTTTTTGTCCAGATTGATGTATTTTTTGTCACAGTAATTGCTTTTGATGTTGACCATTTTCCAGCCCTGCATTGCATTTTAGGGGGCTGTAAACAGGATTTCCATTTGCATTAGTAATGACAGATAATCCCTTTAAGCAAAAATACTCCAATTAAAGTAAACCAATAAGCTGGTGCAATTTTATTTTGTCTCTTATCTGCACCTCCTGCTCCTTGGGAAAAAACAAAACAAAACCTAAACAACCCGCAAACTAATTTCATTAGGTTAGGAGATTTTAGATACATCCAACTCCTGTTTAAAGAATGCTTGATAGGGATCATGGAGGGGAGAAAATACATTCGCTAAATGAGATCCTTTACCAATGTCTTGAGGGTAAAAGTAATCTTAAATCTATATTTGTACATGCTGAACTAAAGATGGTCTTTCTTTATGGTATTCACCTCTGATTCTTGACACTATAAACTAACATGTAAATCAGAAGTGAACGGGCAGGACCATGGACAGGGCCAATCTCGCAAGCATTCTGAAGAGGTATCTGGTTAGTTACATGATGACTCCGTTGCTAATTTCTCTGTAAAATGTATGAATTTGAATGGGTCGTAGAGATCATTTGGCTCAATAGCCTCATTTAAAGAGGATGAAAATGAAGCCCAGAAAGTCTGTTCAAAGTATTTGCTTAAGGTCACATCAAAGGTAATAAGTGGCATCAGCTGGACTTAAACTGAGGATTTGAACTTGAATCTTGATGACTAACTCATGGCCCCATCCATGTTCCCTCATCCTATTATTCAATATTTTAAGTCTTAAAAGCTTTGTAAAGGAGAAGACTTGCTTTGCTTCTCAGCACAGTTGGCAGGGGTTCTGATTTAGCACTATGGAAATACCCTTAGTTCTCACTGCCTTAAAGGTGATTATAGGTCAAGAGTTGTCTTTGACCTTAATAATCATTCAGAGGTCATGACTAGATACTCCAACCAAGCAAATACTTCTCTGATAACCAAACTGGTACCTGGAAGGCAAATCCTTGAAAGGACAGATAAGCTCAGAATCTATGACCCCAATGTTAACTGAGATGAGAGAAAAGAAGATGTAGGTAGTGAAGGTTGCACACTGAAGTAAGAGCAGAAAAATAAGGCAGGTCACAGCAGATGCTGGGGAAGAAATGACAACCAGATTGGTCTATTAGCTTGGCATCTTACCTGGTGTGAATTTTTGTGAGTCTTGCTACTCTTTACTGACAGTGTAGTAATTTTTGTCATGGCATATTGGAAAGACCCTTAAGAAATTCAGAATTTGGCTTATGGATGTCCCATTCAACAACTGTCAAACTCTGAATGTCATCATTTCTTCCATCATTGGTAGAGAAATACCTGTGTCTCACTGTACTTATACAGTGGGAGAGAGTGAGGAGAGAGTGAAGTAGGACAACTTATGGAGACAACAAAAGCACTGCAGTCACATAGACCTGGGCTCAGATCCCACACTCCATTATTTACTGGCTGTGTGACTCTGGCCAAACCACTTAATTAATGTGATTCTTAGTGTTTGCATCCAAAGGGGTATATACAGTTACTCTTACCTCATAGGATATCTGTGAGGATTAAATATAAGAGGCTCTTGACAAAAAAGCTTTGAAATAAACACAGTATGCAAACACTGATGATGATTATTATTGTAGATGAAGAAACTCAGGCTGAGGAAAACTAAGTGACTTGGCTCAAGGTCATATAATTAGTAAACGCTAGAATACCTGAACTGGTGATTCCATTAAACAACAAGGGTTCAAGGACATTTCAATTACAACATATCACCTACACACAGGCCACACCCCGCTCCAGGAGGTGCCCATTCATCCCATAAGATTTCCTCAGAAACACAGGTCTTGACCCCACACAATCAGAGACAGCCACCCCAGCAGTGTGAAAGCCCACCATGCTTCCCTCGAGGCATGAGATGTGACACCGCTGCACATGAGCCCTGCCCAAGCCCCGCCATGAGCTCACAGTGAAAGGAACTGCGATGCAGACACAGGTGGACTGGCAGCCGGCGTGAAGTACAGAAGGATGGAGGAAGCGCCGAGCATGAGCTGTGAGTCAGGCACATGGCACGCAGAATGGAGGTCTCCTTGGTTCAAAGGCAGACACAGAGGACTCACGACACGCACAACACAGCAACCCTACCTTCTGTGGCTCCTTTGCCTTTCCTGTCAGGGATCTCTAACCCAGTGCCCCCTGAGGGATACAGGGAGACGTCCGTTGGCACAGGCCAACTGCTGGCTGTGTCCTCCGTGATCTCATACATCTGCCCCTCCATCGGCTGCAGGTGCCAGTTTAGGCCAAACAGGTGCATGGCTGTGGTGAGCAATGAGAAAAGTCATCTTTTTCTGCTGGAGGTGGACATGGAACTCCCAAGCCATAAGGGGAGGGAAGGCAGGATGGGGAATAGTGCAGTTCAACAAATAGCCCCTGTAGAGACCTCTTGGGGTGCCGAGCAGGGGACCTGGGCACCGGGATGATCAAGGCTCAGCTCCCACCCTGGAGGGCTCACAGGCTGGTGGAGTGAGCAAAGGGGCAGGGGGTGGGTGTCAGGAGTCTTATTGATTCGCTTCAAAAGAGAAATAACAATCTGGGGAGACAACTGCAATTTGTGTCATAAAGGGTTCATTTCTTTAATATAAAAATGTCTCTTACAAACAATAAGCAAAGTCCAACAACTCAGTAGGAAAACAGGCATAGAATATGAATAGACAGTTTACAGAATAAGAAATACAATTGGCTCTTAATCGTATGAAAAGATTTGACATCACTCATAGTAGTACTATTTTTCACATATGATTTGGCAAGGAAATAAAGGTTGAAAATATACAGTATTGGCAGAGAACGGGCCATAAGCACTCTCATACTTTGCTGTTATAAGCATAAGCTCGCACAAACTCTATGAAGCGCAAGTTGACAAAAGCAATCATATTTAAAATGCACATATACTTTTCCCTGGAAGTTAGAGCTTCCAATTGTAGAAGCTTCTCCCCCTGATATACTCCCACATGTACATCCAAATGGTGTCCATACAAGGTTATTCACTGCAGCATTGTTTAGAATTATAAAATATTGGGAATGAGACCGTCACCAAGGGGTTAGGAAAATTATTTCCATACAACAAAGTATTATCAACCATAAAAAAGAGAGGAAGCTCTTTGTGTATTTCTCTGGAAGGAAAATTATAAACTTCAGAACAGTGTATTTGATATACTACCTTGATATATGTGTAGAATATTTCTGACAGGATATGAAAAGTCCTCGGTAATAGTGGCTGTGTTCAGCCACGCAGTGAGATGTTAAGTACCAAGGACGTTTCAGTCTATTGTACATTTTGATTTTGTATCATGCACATGTATTTCTACTGTAAAATTCTTTTCCAAGGTAGCAACTGCTAAATATATTCTTGTGCAACAATCTAGAAAAGACTAAAAGAAAAAGGATGAACACTATCCCTTGAGATACAATGCTTAAGAAGGCTAGGAAGCCTGTTTTCAAAAAGGCTTGTGATCTAGTACAAACTGTTGGCTAAAGTCCCATTTTGGGATTCAAGTCTGGAGCACTGTCAAAGGTCCAGACTCACCTCTTCTGCGACTCCTACCCTAATTCCCCAATTACAGAATTAAGCCCCCCAGGCCCTGGACTCCACAGCACCCTGTATGTAGCCATCACCCTGTTTCAACTGACGAATGTTTCTAGGACCTACAGCTGACTCCAGAGAGCCAGAAAGAAATGGCAGCCCTTATTCCAAGGTTCTCACAGTCACAGAAGGCACAGAGACAAGTAACAAAACCTAGCCGGGACTAGGAGGCCAGAGCAGGTGACTGACCCACTAGGACGGGGAGAGGAACGCACAGCAGTGCCTGTTACATCTAATCCTCAAGGCAACCCCACCAGAGCCAATTTACAGATGTGCATATTAAGTCTCAGAAGGTTCATTAAAATGATGATAATGATAAAACCATGATTTATTGGAGTGCGTACCACAGGCCAGGCATTGTGCTAAAGCGGTAAATGCAATATTTCCTTTAATTCTCACAATAATCCTAAGGGGTATTAATTTTTTTAAAAAAAATACAAAGATACCGAAGAGATCAATCAACATTTGGAAAGGTTAAACAGTTGACAAGGGGCAAAGTCTAGCACAGAATCCAAACTGTTTCAATCCTGAAGTCATACCCCATCCATCTTTCCAATCCAGAAATCACACACCATCAGCTCGGCCCCCCTCACCATGCTGCCTCTCACTAGCTTATCTGGCTAGGTGGGTGGGCATTAGAAAGACATCCCCTTTCACACATCAAACAGCCTCCAAGGCTTTTACCTGTTTTTTTAAGGTAGCAGCATAGATCCTGAGGCAGATAGAAGGTTGTCTTAACTAACCCCACTTTGGGAAAGGGGTTCCTGATGGCAGTCTTTAGACTGCTTTCGGCAGCCACTGCAGCACGAGTTCTATCCCCACCAGGGAGCTAACCTACATGGCTCAGCAGACCTCCCCTGTCTTGCCTGCTGCGTCCCTCAGCAGTGTATTTCAGTAGATCCGTCTATTCTGTTCCCCAGTTTGTCTCTGGTGAATCCTCTCAACCCCCTGCACCTCTGGCCTACACCTCAGTTCTTGTATGTATAAATAAAATAAATCTTTAAAAAAAAAAGACACAGAAAAACTGCGTAGAGGAGACTGGAGAATACACAGCTTTCTGACCTCTTGTCCAAACACAAACCACCAAGGGAATACACCCAAGTTTGACTGAACCAGGGGTGCATTCTGCCCTGTTGCTTTCCTTTGCTTCGCGTGGTGCAGGGGAAAATATGCTGAACCAAAGGTAAGGAAACTTGTTTGGTGTCCTAACTACCACTTCCTAGAACATAATTTTCATCTGAGAAAAGAGCATAAAATTTTTTCAAGGGATTGATTCATGCAAGATAATATACATGGCAACGTGCTTTGTAATCTACACACTTGCAATTACGATATTTTATAATCATTATATTTGTACTGTCAATAACAATGATATAACAGAAGCTCACATTTATGGGGCACCCTTTCAGGCCCTGGGCACTCCCCGAGTGGGCGACACTGCTCTCAACTAGCTCTGCATAGCTGGCAATAATAATCAAAGTTAACTTGCCTGGAAGAAGTGACTACGCTGCTATCTCCCAGGCTGAATTAGCTCACCTTTCTGCTTACTTTCTTACTGTTTTGATCTATCTATTGGCATCTCGGAAGGTAATGGAGAAATTGTTTCAACTACGGACAACTCAGATAAATGCAGTTAAATGAGCGGCGCTTCTTCCCCCATTAGAATCAATTATCCCATCTAACTGTGCAAGAGCGCTGTCTTGTTAAAAGGTCATGAGAATTAACTAATCTCAGAATGAATAGAACTCTCACAGCTTTGTGAAGAGAAACATTTTTATTGTCAAAACTTTCCCTTATTTTTAATAAGATGCAAAAAAGCAAGTCCTCGCTTTAAAAACATATGCAGAGGGGGGAGAAAGCCAGGGGGGACAGTGACAGATGAAAATGGCCACAAGATCTGGCGTCCCGTGAGTTAATCAGGGCAGGACAGCCCACAGCTGGTGTGGGGGGGGCACAGTCCATGACAGCTGAGAGGTATACGTTGGTACCCCTTCCTCTAAGGTTTGCCCAACAACCACGGAGGCTCCCACACAATCACGAGCTGGCCGGGGGGCTCTCTGACCTGTGGAAGAAGTGTTCCTGAAAAGAACCTGGGTAACAGGAGTTACCAGGTTCTGGATTCAACTTCAAGTGAATGGCTGCTCTCATAAGACTCCGTCATCCAGAAATGATTCTGGAGGCCGGTGCTTAAGGGAAGTGAGCACAGGCATGGAGATCGGCTGAAACAGAGCTTAGCAGCTGGAGGGGAAGATGTAGAGGTATAGGGAGGGGGATGTGGAGTCAGTGATGGGAGGTTTAACCAGTCATGTGGTTCAAGTTGTCTTAAAGCCAAAACAAAAGGGACCTTAACTGCAATCCAGGGTCACAAATATCAATCATGCTAGGGACCCTCAAATCTTCACTGTAGTTTGGTGGATGGTGACTTTCATAGGGGGAGGGGAAGAGAAAAGCGAAGAACTAGATTGCTCTGCTTTCCCTTTCCCAAAGGACACAACACACACTCAGCCGGAGACTGCCCAAGGAGTATGGGACTTCAAGCAACTGCTCTTCTTTATCCTTGAAAATAATCCAACTCAAATAGCAGCAAAAAACTTGATTATCATTTGAATACATATTACATATTGAACACTTTATTTATATTCAATTTAATCCTCACATAGAGGTAGGTTGCAAAAACATTCCTGTATAGAGTGGAATACATTGATACACAATTTACTCAGGGAGGTAAAGTAAATTACCTAACACCATAAGAACAATTTTCAAACTCAGGAGCCTATGTACCCAAGCCAAGCTCCTTTTTTTTACATGTTTTACTTTATTTATTTTTTTAAGATTTATTTATTTTATTTATACAAGCACTGGGTACAGTCAGAAGCGCAGGAGGGTGAGAGAATTCACCAGAGCCAGAGCAGGGAGCAGAATAGGCAGAAGGACCGAGGTACACTGCTGAGGGGAGCAGCGGGCGGCAGGAGGGGTCTGCGCGCCATGTGGGACCCTCACCCGGTGGCCGGGGATCGAACCGGCGCTGCAGAGGCTGCGGGCAGCTCTGCAACCCAGCACTCAATTGCTGTGCCACCGGGGAGGCCCACATGTTTTACTTTAAATAGAAGAATTACAGGTAACAGAAAGCCACCAGCAGAAAAAAAGAGTTGAAATGGATGTTTGGGGGAGGGGAATAATAAATATTATTATATGATAATATAATAACAGTGATAATAAATATTTCTTAACATACAACACCCTGTAAAGCAGTGGACAGCTGTGCATGCAGGCTATCCAAATGATCTGGAAGTCACGGCCATGCAACCCTAAAAAGCTAAGAACTGGTTCTTTCTAATCTGCTTTAAGAAGGGACCAGACCACCAAAACAATACAAATTATAATCATCCTATTCCCTCTTTCCTGAGGAATTAATGGTAACCACCCACCACCAAAGTACATCACAGTATTATCTAAATTACACCATGTGGGGTGTATTTGCAACTGTTAGTGCAAAACTCTCTGCAAGCGCTCTGAAAGTGACCTAAATAAGACTCAATACCACTTTTCCCTTTCTTTTTTTTTTTTTTTTTTTTTAAATATTAAATTTTATTTTTATATTCCCCATACAATTGCAAACGCCCCATTCTGACCCAATCCTTCCCCTCCCGCCCCCCCACCCCCAAAAAGTGTCTCT